TCTGTGGAATGACTGTGTGTCAAGACCTCTCTTTCCCTTTTTAAACATGAGATTGAAAAGGGAAAACAAACTGCACTTGTGATTGCTGAAAGCTTAATAGTTACCCCCCGCCTCCTAATAACTTTTTGCATGTCTTAAGATACCCATGAAAATAAAACCAGTATGTTTGGGACACTGTGGTTTGGAAGAATGAATGCATTTTTTTAAAATAAAAATGCACTTTACCAGTAGCATTCATTTTCCAAGGTTGTAATTAGAGAGAAACACTCAAGAAGCAACAAAACTGTGGAACATAAAGAGGGCAGTGACAGGACCTCAATTAACCTAAATTAGCACAGGTTACCCAGAGCTCCAGAAACACCCCAAAATGAAAAAGCCTTTTGCTTTTAGCACTTTTTTTTTTTTCTTTTTTCCCCCCAAAGACTTCAAGATCCAAGTGGAAAAGTTCGCCAGGATGGGTGGGACCTGAACAGGCTGACTCACTGCGGTTAGATTCGGACTGCCAGGGAAAGCTGCAGAGTACAGTTAGGCAAACACTACAGCTGGTTTTGATGATATTTTCTTGTTAAAGACAACATTATTAGAAAAATGTGTAAACAGGACAGGGCAGTGGAGGCCCCCTCTTGATTTTATAGCCAAAGGCTCCCACCCTTCTGTGGCTTTTCTGTACCGTCTGCCGTGCTGATTCTATGTAAAAAAACCCAACTGCAGGCATTCCACCAATGTAACGCTCTCCTTCTCTGAGAGTTCTTTCATTTCCCCAAGAACTTTGGAATCATGGGAGTTATAGTGGCTCTGTTACTTTATTCTTATATAACTTTGGGCAAGTTATTTGAACCTTGATCTCTTCACTAGTATAATGGTTGTAAAAATAATATCTATCTCATAAGTTAGGAAAATGAACTGAAAAGACACTAAATTAAATATGTTAAATATCTAGAAAAGTGCCTGGTGTATAATGAGCACTCAGATAGTAGTTATTGTTATTAGCTGCTATTGTGATCTTAATAAATCCTGTCAAATATGATTTCAAAAAGACTCTGTTCCTCTCCTGTCCTTTTCATTTTCAGTTTTATCATTTCATTCAAAGTGGAAAAGAGGCCAGGCACGTAGTTTGCGCCTGAAATTCCAGCACTTTGGAGGCCAAGGAGGGCGGACCACTTGAGGCCAGGATTTGGAGACCAGCCTGGCCAACTTAACGAAACTCTGCCTCTACTAAAAATACAAAAAATTAGCCAGGTGTGGTGGCGGACTGAGGCAGGAGAATCACTTGAATCCGGGAGGCAGAGGTTGCAATGGAGCTGAGATCGCGCCTCTGCACTCCAGCCTGGGCGACACAGCGAGACTCCGTCTCGAAAAAATGAACAATAAAAAAAAAAATAAAGTGGAAAAGAAATGTACATTTCTTGACTTCCTAGTTTCCCATCCTACCCAATCAATTAACACACCAATACCCTCCTTAAAAATATTCAACTTATTGTGAATACCAAGTAGAGGCAGAAGAAATACAAATCCAACAGGATATCTAATTTTTAATACTTTTCAGCTAGTTTAGTTGATGAATATTTACTGAGTTCTTACTATGTCCTATATTATGCTATATTCTAGAGACTAGAAAAGAATGGGCAAGAGGTTTTTTCTGTCCTCAAGGAGCTAGAGTCTTGGTATATATCCTGGGATTAGAGAATAAGAGAAGGCATCCTAAAATTAAAAAATAAATAAATGTAAAAAGGCACCTGAGCTGAATCTTGAAGGATGAGTAAGCTTTAACCAAATAAACAATAGGAGAGAAAAGGTTTTCCAGGCAGAGAGAACAGCAGGTACAAAGAAATGAAAGTATGAAATAGCTTTGAATTGCAAGCAGTTCAGAATTACTAGAGTAAAAATCATGTAATAGAGAATATTGGAAGACAAAAGTGGATTTACAGTTTACCTAGAAAGGCAGGAGTCTGGTAGAATTTCAATATGCATCAATCTAAATAGGAGGAACTAGTGATTCCATTTCCAAATAAGCCAACACCTTCATTAGCACCAAACTTTTCACCAGCTGAGTTCCCCAACATAGGAAATACCCACTATCTTTAGGTCACAAAGACATAAGGTGTTTTCAGGCTCAATCATGAGTCACTGGGCAAGTTCCTTTGTTATTCTTTTTGCCATTAGTTCATCATTTGTAAATTGGAATAATAATAATGGCTTTTCTTTTTTTATTATATTTGAAGTTCCGGGATACATGTGCAGAACATGCAGGTTTGTTACACAGGTATATGTGTGCCATGTTGGTTTGCTGCAGCCATCAACTCGTCATCTACATTAGGCATTTCTCCTAATATTATGCCTCTCCTTGGCCCGCACCCCCTGACAGGCCCTGGGGTGTGATATTCCCCTCCCTGGGTCCATGTGTTCTCATTGTTCAACTTCCACTTATGAGTGAGAACATAGGGTGTTTGGTTTCCTGTTCCTGTGTTAGTTTGCTGAGAATGATGGTTTCCAGTTTCATCCATGTCCCTGCAAAGGACATGAACTCATCCTTTTTTACAGCTGCATAGTATTCCATGGTGTATACGTGCCACATTTTCTTTATCCAGTCTATCATTGATGGGCATTTGGGTTGGTTCCAAATCTTTGCTATTGTGAACAGTGCTGCAATAAACATACGTGTGCCTGTGTCTTCATAGTAGATTGATTTATAATCCTTTGGGTATATACCCAGTAATGGGATTGCTAGGTCAAATGGTATTTCTAGTTCTAGATCCTTGAGGAATTGTCACACTGTCTTTTACAATGGTTGAACTAATTTACACTCCCACCAATAGTATAAAAGCGTTCCTGTGTCTCCACATCCTCTCCAGCATCTGTTGTTTCCTGACTTTTTAATGATCTCCATTCTAACTGGTAATCATGCCTTTTCACAGGGTTGTTGTAAATGAGATAATGCTGTCACATACTTAGAACCATATTTGCCACATAGAAAGTGATCATCAAATGCTAGCCAGTATTATGCATGTGCTGCTCCAGTCTCACTCAACCCAGCGATGCTGCAGCTGGGTGCTGTGATCAGTGAGAAAGCATACGGCAAGGGATTTTTCTCAACACATCATTGTGGCCATTTGTAGGTAAAAATTATTTCTGACCCAATAACCTGTTCAGATTTATGATCATGGTACATAAACTTATGGCCCTGAAAAAGTCAAAATTTCTGTGAGTCCTAGTTCCCTCACTTAAAAAATGGGGAGATTGATGCTTGTTCCATGTCTTATAAAGACAAAATAAGACAACTTATGAGATGCACTTAACCCACTGCTCAAGTCTACAGAGCTGAAAAGAATAAAGATCCCTTCATCGGTGGATTCTCTGAGTGGGGAAAAGCCCCTACACAATGAAGTTGGCAAGGTTGGGAAATTAATTAAATCACTCACTCATTCAAAAATACAAATGAAGCATATATGCTAAGCAATGCTCTTCTTTCACCATGGAAAATAATACCTATTGATCTCAACCTGACAAACATACAATTGGAGTTTGTATACACATACAACCATGCTGTTGGTTGTGGGTGGAGAACGAAAGAAAAGAAACACTGTTTTATGTGTGAAATGTTGCCATCTTTGTCCCTTTTTTCTGCACCAACATAAATGATAATTGTCATTTTCACTTGTTAATTGACTAATTATGTTTTGTTTCCATAATGTGCCAGTATTTGCATTTTAAGTCTGTTATTTCTTTCCCTGTAATCAAAGGGCCTTTTTTCTCTAGAATTTCCTACATCAGCAAACATTTTAGAGGTAGCCACATTACTGAACAATTACAATTACTTTCGACAGATTAAGTACCTTTAATATTACTTCTCTCCTGTTCTAACTCTCCTTTTCTTACCTCTCTATAGCCCAGTCTCTTATTTGCTCAATCCATGAACATACCTCTCTTCCTTTCCCCAAATTTCTCCTCTATCTGGAATATTATACTCTACTTCTCTAACTCAGCTTTGGAGACCGTGCTCAATGCGCAGCCCCCAGGAGAAATGTCCTCTTGTAAGAGGCCTTTCTCTATTCCTTTAATAAAAGTAGACATTTTCTTTCAAGATCTCAGAGTGTACTGTCCTTATCTCTATGAAAGCACTTGCTATCCTACATTGTAATTAATGCAATGTCTGTACTTCCAAATAGATTATAACTATCTAAGGGTAGGAACTAAAGTATCTCATTTAATGTGATCATGTGTTTGTTGTACGGATAAATGAAATAAGAAGGGATTCCTGGCTGCTCCTTCCAGGCCTGTATCCCTTTGTCTTTAAGCCCTGGAGGAGTCGACCCTACTCTGGCAAAAAACATTTAGCATGTCCCTTCCTCTCTCTGAGTACTGCTACCCGTCCTATATCCCAAGGCTACTGAATGCATATTTTAAACTTTACAGAAAATACCATGTTATTTATTTACATGTTACATATTTTAAACTTTACAGAAAATACCATGTTATTTAGGGTGGGGCATTGGAATGTGTTCCTATCTCTCCTATATTTTTTCTAACCAATGTTTTCTCTAATTTTTAAACCCTTTCATGGAAGCTTTTTGTATTTTAGGTGCTGTCATTCAGAGTCCATAGGATGGATGAATGGATATAAAAATGAACAAACGTGGCCGGGCGTTGTGGCTCACGCCTGTAATCCCAGCACTTTGGGAGGCCGAGGCAGGTGGATCACGAGGTCAGAAGATCAAGCCCATCCTGGCTAACACGGTGAAACCCCGTCTCTACTAAACAAATACAAAAAATTAGCCAGGCTTGGTGGCGGGCGCCTGTTGTCCCAGCTACTCGGGAGGCTGAGGCAGGAGGACGGCGTGAACCCGGGAGGCAGAGCTTGCAGTGAGCTGAGATCCGGCCACTGCACTCCAGCCTGGGCGACAGATCAAGACTCCGTCTCAAAAAAAAAAAAAAAAAATGAACAAACATGTGACACAACACTGCATGATTTACTGGCAATGACTTTCTGATCAAGCCTGAAGTGGGTTGTAGCCTCTTTATTTACTTTTTATTTGACACATAGCACAGAGAGATTTAAACTATCTCTTATTGGCCTTTTCCCTGCATCTTAGCTTGCTTTCTGTCAGTGTTTCCCAGCATTGAGAAATCAGAACTAATCTGTCATATTAGACCTAAACTTTAAGAGAAAAGGACTTTGGGCCTTATATCTGCATTCCTTCAATGCATTCCTTCAATGGAGGTGACACTGCTTATTTCTATATTTCCAGTCATCTCTCAATGAAAGGGAACATGCAGGCTGGCTGTCCTTTAGAGAGCACCCCACAGTTTTGAGGAGCTCTGCAGCTCTGCTCACCCTTTCTGCATCACAGCAGATCCAAAAGGTGAAAAAAAAAGGAGGGGGTTGCGGTGTTAGCATCCTTGCTCCCCCCACCAGCACCACACAGCTGTTCAGAGGTTTAGTCTTCAAAAGCCTCTTAATTATCATGCAAACTCTCCATGCCTTTAAAAAAAATACACACAGTATACATGAGAACGCTGAGCAAAAAAGATGAAGAATAGGCTGATAATTATTAGGCACATGTTATATGGTGCATATTCTTTGCCCACAGAAATATCTGGTAGGATGTACAGAAAGTATTGGTGAAATATTTCTACTTACAAATTGAGGAGAGATGGGGTAAACCCAGGTCAACGCAAACATTTTTGAAATTAGAATTTTACTTTATTTTTTTTTTTTCTGTCAAAAGTTATCAATTCCAGAATGAGAGAAACCCCAGTATTTTACAATTTACACATTACTTACGTGGGACCTGCTCGCTGGGTATCCCTGAGGGGGCACCAAAGAGCTATTTCTTTCTTTCTGTAGAGCACAGGAGTGTAAGAAATTCCAGCTGCCTGTTTCTGGGCTATTTAAAACCCAGTAACTTCTACAGACTTCCTGGGATCAACCCAGCTCACAGGGAGCTGGGGAATCTGTATTACATTATCAGTTATTGTTTTTGGTCAAATCTAAGAACAAACATATGAAGAAGCAGAGCACGCAGCACTGGTTCAGGAGGTTCAAGCAACATTATCAGATTCTTGTTGAGAAACAAACGGTTGTTACTGCGCCACCGCATACTGCAGACAATTCCTAGATATCAAGAGAGGTCCAAGCGAGCAACAGAGAATATAATACTAGCTGCTGGACTGGGACTCCCGGGCTCACTATGTTGCAGCTACAGATTCTCAGAATGCCATTTAAACTTCCTGAGTTTATCTGAGAAGTAAGCCAAGGGTATAGGTGATGAGGCAGCATTTACTGGTATAGTTAGTCCCCCTTTATCCACAGTTCTGCTTTCCATGGTGTCAGTTACCCATAGTCAACCACAGTCTGAAAATATTAAATAGAAAATTCCAGAAATGAACAACTCATAAATTTAAAATTGCACATTGTTCTGAGTAGCATGATGAAATCTCGTGCTTTCCGCTCCATCTCACCCTTGAATCATCCCTTTGTCCAGCACATCCAGGCCGTATACATTGCCCACCAGTTAGTCACTCAGTAGCTGTCTGGGTTATCAGATTGTTGCAGTATCACAGCGCAGTGTTCAAGTAACTCCTATTTTACTTACTAATGTAAAAGTGCAAGAGTAGTAATGCTGGTATATTGTTATAATTGTTCTATGTTATTATTAACTATTGTCAATCTCATTAACAATTTATAAATTAAACTTTATCATAAGCATGTATGTATAGAAAAAAACATAGTAAATATAGGGCTCAGTACTACGCAGTTTGAGGCATCCAAAGGGGGTATTAGAATGTACCCCCTACAGATAAGGGGGGGCTGCTGTACAGGCAAGGGGGTCCATAAATCACACCCCCCAGCACACAGCTAACAGAGCATATGTTTATTGGGACACATGCTCTTGAAAGAGACACCATAATGATAATACCATCCATAATCCAGACCAATCCATTGGTCATATTTTTATAAGACATCACTATTCCATAGTACTGCTTCTAATTGGGATAACAATTATCCACTCACATGACTTACCTTCTCAAAGTCTCGAAGAGCCTGGGTCTGTACCTGAGGAGGTTTCTCAAATGCTCTCAAGGAATATGTCTGCACAAAGGGGACCTTTTCACCACTTCTCCAGATCTGTGACTGCACCGGAGGGCCTCGATCTTTAGTGTCACTAAGAAAAGCTGTCAGTGAAACAGAACAACAACAAAAAAGGTTTATATAATGGCACTAGGATCATTCTGACTGGCACATTTCAGCAGAATTCAGTTTCTGCAAAATACAAACTCAATCTAGGCCACATAGAAAAAGTTTACATAAAGCAGCCTGTGGTGGATCATATTAATAGCCATCCCCAGTGAATCAAATTAGTTTGTGTCCATATGCCTTTGCAATATGATACTTTTGCCATCAAGAAATGAAGCCTATTTCCCCAGCTCTTGAATCTGGGTTGGCAAAGTGGCTTGCCTTGACTGGCAGAATATGATAAAAGTGCTACTGTATGAGTTCCAGAGACTAGCTTTGAGAGGCCTTGCATTTCTGCTCTTGCCTTATTAGCATCCCAAGACAACCATGCTGTGAAGAAGTCAGTCTACCCCACTGGAGAAGGAAAGGCTGTTCAGGGAAGTGAAGATGCCCCAGCTGACAGTCACCACCTGCCAGACATGTCAGCAAGGCTGTCTGAGATCTTAAGTACCAGTCAAGCCATCAGAATGTTGCAGCCAGTTGAGTGATCCCAAGTGAGACCAGCAGTGACAATGCCCAGTTTGCCAAAACAGAATTGTGAGAAATAATAAAGCATTGTTGTTTTAAGCCAGGTGTGGGCAGACTTTTTCTTAAAGGACCAGACAGTGTTTTAGGCTTGTGGGTCATATCATCTCTGTCACAGGTACTCAACTCTACACTGTAGCACGGGGCAGACACAGACCATCTGTAAATCAATGAGTGTGACTGTGTGGCTATAAATCTTTACTTATAAAAACTGGCTGTTGGTCCATGGGCTGTAGTTTGCTGCTGACCCCTGTTTTAAGTCACTAAGTTTTGGGATGGTTTGTCACATAACAAAAGGTAACCAAAACAGTCTAAAGGAAAGAACCAAGCTACTAGCAAACTCTATCTACAAATATCTCTACAGAGAATTTTTCAGGTTACTATTTAGTAATAGTAACAATTGTAACAACCAACATATTTAAAGGGCATTACATATTACAAAATAGTTTCACGTGAATTATTTCATTTATGAAATCGCTGCAATGAGTGAAATAGACATAAGTGATTATTAAATCCATTTTACTGATGAACAAGTAAAGGTTCAGAAAGTTTGCTTGTCCAAGATCACATTGCTAAAAAGTGGCAGAACCAATCCCATATTTTCTCCATCTGTCTTTCTTAGCAGTATGCTACTACTGTGTTATTTTAGCAATTAAAGGGATTGCAACAGGTCTGAGAGTGGGGAAAACAGGTAAAGAGTCAGAGATTCAATCACTCCATTAACCAATGGAAGCACTGCTTTGGGAGAACCTAGTGGAGTCTAAGCTGTAATTAACCCTATGCTTGCTTTTGAAAAGTAACGTTGTTAAAGAATGAGAAATCAGAGCCTCTGTCAAACAAAGTACACAGAGGACTCCATGTTGGGGCAGGGCTGGAGTTACAGACTCAGGTAGAAAACATAGAAAGCTACATTACTTTCTTGGCTGACGAAGGAAATAATGAACCTTTACTATGGAACTACTTTTTAAATAAGAAAGAAGACAATCATGGCAAAGCATTAAGCTCTACAGACAGTGTCAGGGCAAGTAAGCAAAACAGGTACAGGGTGACTGGCTTGCTGAGGAAAAGTTAACTAGACACTTGGGCAAAGGAGATCCAAGGCAGTAAGAGGTAAAATGCCATTGCATGCTTTTCTTCCTATCTCTTTTTCTTTCTCTCTTTTTCTTTCTCTCTTTCTCACTCTCTTTCTCTCTCTCTGCTTCCTTCCTTCCTTCCTCCCTCCCTTCCTTCCTTCCTTCCTTCCTTCCTTCCTTCCTTCCTTCCTTCCTTCCTTCCTTCCTTCCTTCCTTCCTTCCTTCCCTCCCTCCCTCTTCTCTCCCTCCTTCTCTGCCTTCTTTCCTTCATTCTGCCAACTTGCCAGAAGGAGCCCAAGAAAAAGCACCCAGATGCTTCAGTCAACTTCTTAGAATTCTTTTTTTTATGTTCAGAAAAGATGGAAATTCATTTCTGCTAAAGAGAAAGAAAAAATTTGAAGACAGGGTGAAGGTGAACAGGCCCATTATAAGAAAGAAACAAAAATCTATATTCTCTCTGTAAGGAAATGAGAGAGAGAAAGAGAAAGAGAGAGAGAGAGAAAAGAAGTCCCAGGATTCTAATGTACCAAAGGGATCTCCTTTTTCTTGTTTTGTTCTGACAATTGCCCCAGAAGAGCACAGGAGAACATCTTGGCTAATTCATTGGTGATGTTGTAAGGAAACTGAGAGAAATGAAAGAAATGAAGAATTACTGCTGCAGATAATATACAGCCTTGAGGAAAGAAAGGCTTTTAAGATCATAGATATAAAGGCTATTGCTGTATTCTGGGATAAAAGAAAGTCTGATGCAGGGAAAACGGAAGTTGGAAAAACTGGAAAAAGAAAAAAGAAGAAAGAAAAAAGGACTGGAAAGACATTGATGAATAGAAAGATGAAAAGGGTGAAGAAAAAATGATGATAGTCAATGGGGTGATTTTAAAAGAGGCTTTTGTTTTGTTTTGTTTTTTAAATTTGTTTTTTTTGTGTGCGTGTGTATGAGTTTGTTTTTTGCCTAAAAGTATTTAACTCCCCATTACACCACTGATTTCAAAGAAAAAAACTGAAATGTAAGATCATATCATTTGTTTTTAAACTGAACACTGTACACTGTCTTTTTATTTTTGCAAAATTAATGTAGTATCCAGTGTGTCTTTAGATAACCCTGTCCTTAATGATATTTTCAATAGCCACTAACCTTGCCTGGTACTGTGTGGGGGTTTAAACTAGAACAGAAATTTAAAGCAGGCTTTATTGGTGCATAGCACAGATCAATTACATATATATGGAGATATTATTTTTTTGGCTCTTCAATTGTTTTTCATGCAGCTTACCCAATATAATTGTTCTGTTAGTTGCATACTACTCTGTGATAGCAAATAATAAAATAATTATGATGATATTGCATCTGTTTTGGTGATATTCTGAATGTTTCTAAGTAAATGCAAAATTTTTAATTAAAAGTAATTAGAGGCTGGGCATGGTGGCTCACACCTGTAATCCCAGTATTTTGGGAGGTTGAGTCAGGCGGATCATTTGAGGTCAGGAGTTCAAGACCAGCCTGACCAACATGGTGAAATCCCATCTCTACCAAAACTATAAAAATTAGCCAGGTGTTGTGGCAGGCGCATGTAATCCCAGCTACTCCGGAGGCTGAGGCAGGAGAATTGCTTGAACCTGGGAGGCAGAGGTTGCAGTGAGCCAAGATGGCACCACAGTACTCCAGCCTGGGTGACAGAGCAAGACTCTGTCTCAAAAATAAATAAATAAATAAATAAATGTAAATAGAAAAAATGATTTCTTCCACATTTAGGTGAAATTAAATATACTACTAAGGGGAAGATAATTTGATAAGACAGAATAACAATACTTTATAGTTAGATTGGTGAATATGATAGAAAGAGCAATGCCTTGAGGCTTAGATTTGAATCCTGACCACTTGCCAATTGTGAGAATTTAGGCAAATCTCTTAGTTTTGCTGACATATTGCCCCTGTAAAGACAGGGATAATAATATCTGCTTTATAGAGCTGTTATATGGATTAAATAAAATAATAAATAAAAGCACCTTGCCACATGTCTTATATGTAGTAAGCATTTTATTCATTCCCCTCACATTTTTGCCCTAGTCCTTCAATTTTTGCCTCAAAATGTAGAATATTGACATTTAAAATGTTGAGCATAGTAACCCTTGGAATTTGTGGATTTAACACACAATTTCAAATACTAATTTTAAGTGACTCTGAAACTCTTAACTTATTCAAATTAAAAACTTTTTTCCAAATTGTGCATATAAGCAATCTGTGCTTCCAGGCTGTTACAAAAAAGGCAAAGAACTTAGCAAGGAAGTAAAACCCTCAGGTTGAGAACAAGTTTTATGAAAAATAGACCCCAAAAGAATGTTATCTTCTCTTTGGTTTTGCAATTCAAGTAGATCTCTGTCTAATGTTAGCGCACTAATAATTGTGCTGTTGTTAGGAATACATTAATAGTACAATAGGTAAGATACTGAGTGCTTATTCCTTGACAGCCTCTGTACTAAAAGCTTTTCTCCATCTCACGTATGAGATTAACATTATTATTATACCCATTTTATTTATTTATTTATTTATTTATGTTTTATTTTTTGAGACTGAGTCTGCTCTATCACCCAGGCTGGAGTGCAGTGCCACGATCTCGGCTCACTGCAACCTCTGCCTCTTGGATTCAAGAGATTCTCCAGCCTCAGCCTCCTGTGCAGCTGGGATTACAGGCATGGGCCACCATGTCCAGCTAATTTTTGTATTTTTGGTGGAGACAGGGTTTCACCATGTTGGCTAGCCTGGTCTTGAACTCCTGATCTCAGGTGATAAGCCCACCTCAGCCTCCCAAAGTGCTGGGATTACATGCTTGAGCCATTGTGCTCGGCCTATTATACACATTTTAACGGTGTATTAAGATAGAGCTTTCATTTTAGTAGCATAATTTATTTTAATCATTGTACAAGTGAGTTTAGCCTTGCAATTACAGAATCATTAAAAGTATGAAGAATTCACATAAGTATCTGTAATGATTTACTGTACTGTGCTGCTTCTCAGTACATAGAATTATATCTAGCTTATAATTCTCAGTGTGAAATTGCTACAGTAGTATGTGCAAATTTGGAAATGCACAAAAGTTTGAAGATATTGCCATGATGAATTTAAAGAGGCCGTAATTCAAGAGAATTATGATCAATAGAAAACCAAGAATTGGCCAAGTGCCAATTTCTCCCACACACTTTGGAAAGCTGAATTGGGTGTATCGCTTGAGGTCAGACATTCAAAACCAGCCTGAGCAACATAGCAAGACTCCCATCTCTAAAAAAAATATTAAAAATTAGGCATATGTCTGTAGTCCCAGTCACTCAGGAGGCTGAGGTGGAAGGACAGCTTGACCCCAGGAGTTTGAGGCTGCAGTGAGCTATGATCACACCACTGCACTACATCCATAGTAAGAGAGTGAGACCCTGTCTCAAAAGAAAAACAAATGAATAAATAAAAGAAACAAAGAATTTAACAAGGCAAGGCCCATAACATCCTTACCTGCTGTGTGACTTGTTCTGGGTACCATCTCCCCATCATCCTCTGCAAAATAATCTCTGTGGAGAAAAACACATCATTAATGAATGAGTTACTACCCCACAAGGCTCCCAATCCCAGGGATCGAGGAGAAGACACCTACCTATTTGTTGTTTCTATTTATCTCTCTGCAAGTATTTACTAAGCTTCTATTATGTATCAGGGACAGTGTCAAGTGCTGGGGATACAAAGGCAAACACCACAGAAGAGCTCCTGTTCTCAATAAGTACGTGAGAGCCAGCCTTTAAATAATTTCACAAGTATTAGCTATTGTAGTAAATGTTGTGAAGGAAAATGCAGAGGGAAATTAACTAGCACAGGGACTCAGAGAAACTCAGGGAAAGGAACGTTTAAATGTAGATGGGAGGATGTCAACCAGGTGTAGAATGGGAGATTGGGAGTGGGAGAGTGTTCCACCACGAGAGAACAGCAAAGGCCCCGAGTCAGAAAGGACTCTGGCTTTTTAGAGGAACAAAGAAAGCTAACGTTGCAACCAAGCCATGCAGGACCTGTGGTATGGGGTAAGGCTACTGAGTCTAGTGTGAAAAGCTATGGGAAGTCAATGAAGGATTTTAAATGAAGGAAAGCGTGGTAATGATCAGATTTATATTTCAGATAGGTCATTCTAGCTGCATTCTGGCTCTACACAGTGAGACTGTGGAGGGGCAAAAATGGATGGTGAGAGTCTATATTCCAAATAGGAAGTTGTGATGGTTTAACGAAGGGGAAATTTTAAAAATTCAAGATATGTTTCGAAAGTAGAATTGACACAGAAACCTTGAAAAACAGATAAAGTTTATGAGTGGAAATGTTAATAACACCATGATTCAGTAGCAAGAGGTGTGTCTGTTCATCACAGTAAATACCACCATCCCTAGCAGAGAGGGGACAGTATCTCAAAATGTATTCAACAAATACTTGTCAAGCCCATGCTATGTTTTTAGGCACTGTTGTAAGCTCCACAAATGCAGCAGTGAGCAAAACAGACAAAAATACCTGCACTCATGGAATGTTTACAGTAAGGGGAGACGAATAAATAAATTGTATAGTAGCACTTGGAAACAAATGTTATTAAAAAAAAAGTAAAGTGAGGAATGTGGATAGGGAGAGCTGGAGTTAGGAGGAGGTAGAGGGGATTGCAATTTTCAGTAGACAAGGCTGCTCTATGAAGCCATAAGGATAGGCATGGAGGTCTCTAGGGAAAGAGTCTTCTAAGCAGAGAACATAAAATGCAAAGGCCCATAAGAGGGAGCATACTAGTTAGTGGCTGGGCGCAGTGAGCACGTGGTGAGTAGTAGGAGGCGAGGTCAGGGAAGTAATGGGAGGACTGGGCAGAGGGCACAGACTGTTTGAAGCCTTTCAGGACACAGGGAGGCATTTAGCCACTAGAGTCTTGTGAATCAAAAAGAAAGACGGACTCAGTGACTAATGTTTTAAAGGGCGGCCAGCTACTGTCTTGACAACTGACTGTCTAATGGGGAAGTCAGAAACAGATTATTGCAATGGCCCTACAGAAAGATGCTTTCAATAGATAGCTTATTCTTTAAACTCTTGAGGGCTCCCAAGAATTCTATAAACAGAGATTTAAAGGACTTCTCTCTCTCTCTCTCTTTTTTTTTTTGAGACAGAGTTTTTCTCTTGTTACCCAGGCTGGAGTGCAATGGCACGATCTCGGCTCACCACAACTTCCGCCTTCCAGGTTCAAGCGATTCTCCTGCCTCAGCTTCCCCAGTAGCTGGGATTACAGGCGCCTGTCACCATGCCTGGCAAATTCTGTATTTTTAGTAGAGATGGGGTTTCTCCTTATTGGTCAGGCTGGTCTCGAACTCCTGTCCTCAGATGATCCACCAGCCTCGGCCTCCCAAAGTACAGAGATTACAGGAGTGAGCCACCACGCCCAGCCTGCAGGACTCCTCTTTTTAAAAGCCAGAAGATATTCACAGGGAGGCAGAGGAGGATCTGGCATTTGCTTGGAAATTGGTGGTTTTTTCTTCCCTGCCTCAGGGCTGGATCTTGGCAGAAATCTTCACTTAGTTAAGTCCCAGATGGACATGAAAATACCAGACAGGGCACATTGGGCTGCACATGCCACCTGACAATTATTTCGTATCTAAAAGTAGATCATCAGCTTGTGATCCTTCCAGGCCCCCTGCCTCTTTCCCTTCTCCTCTTTAAAAGCTTTCCCTAAGAGTAAACAATGCCAAAGAGGAAGGTACTACATACACACTCCCCTCTGTGGAGGTAAAATAGAAGGATGTCAAAACTATCAACCAGAACAATGTCTTAAAAAAATTTGTGGGGAAAAAATTTATACTTAGCTGCCGCTATTCACTGAGCATTTCTGCCTAGTCCACAGACAAAGGTGGCTGCATCTGCTGTCAGGAGCAAGGTCAACCCTCAGGCCAAATTCAGCCCATCCAACATGTTTTATTCAGCCCACACAAGTTTGACCCATTTCTAACTGCTCTTGGGAAATGACTGGGTCTACCAACACTGTGCCTGCCTTCCCACACAGGGGGATAACTTGCCCCCTTTACACAGGACAGGGATGTGTTTTCCAGTTTGCCACAGTTCCTGCCACTCCCTGTCCTTGTCGTCCCTCATTCACTTAATTATGATACTTGTCTGGCATCTTGCAGGCTTCTGATGCTGTTACCCCAGTACAGACCAAGTGCAGACAGAATTTCATTTCTGCTTTCTTAAGACGCAGTCTTGAGAAACCCATTGGCTTCAACACACAATTAATTAATTTGTGGTGACAAGCTACTATACTGGCTTGTATGTCACTTTCACCTCTCTGGGTATTAGTTTTCTCTAATATTTATAAAAGAAGGACATGAATTTCTAAGGTTCCTTGCAGTAATTATGCAATTCTATTCTAATAGATGCTTAAACATAAAACCCATTTTAATACTGTCCAAGGATCCAGGGTACCTTCCAGACATGATCTCACTCAATCTTCTCTGCTCTGCAGATTACTCATTATAGGTCAAGAGCAAGCTACAACATAGCAATACATATCAGCCCTACCAGACACCTCACCCTTCCTGCTTCACCCACATCCACTCTGAGCACACTGCCTGCCCGATATGAATCAATAACTGGAAGGATAGAGAGGTCACTTTAGATGGGTACTGAGTTAATAAGCATACTCTCAGTGTCTCAGGAGATTTTTAAGAAATCACTTTAGCTCTATTAACAGCTCAAGTTCCCTCTCTTATTGCCAGAGAAAGGGGCTCACTCAGCTGCTCCACAAGTTAGAAAGGAATCTGATGCTCCCCAAGGGAAGGGGCTCAGAGTGAAGAAACACAGTATATATACCCTGTGGTCTCGGTACTCAGAATCTATTGAGGGAAGCAGGAGTATGACTCAGAGAGATAATTATTAGAAAAATTAGATTTAACAGAGATTTCAGAACATAAATAAGATAGCAATTAATTTTGTCCTGATGGGGAGTGGGCTGGGGCAAGGTTGTGGCGGGGGGAGTCTAGGAAATTTACAGAAAACAGAAAACACCGAATCTAGGTCTTAAAGAATGGGCGTAAATACACAAGGAAACATAACAAAGACCCAATGACAGGAAGATGAACGGTGTGTTCAGGGGGCTTTCATTTTGTTTTCCCCTTCACAACAGCCCCCTCCATCTTCCTGCCTCCAGCCTGAGGAGCCCTAAACTGCCTCCTAGGACATCTTCCAACTTCCTGTTTACCTTTCCCCCACCTCAAGCCTTCCTGCCCGAGCACTCACCCTCAGGTGGAAATATGAAGGAAAGCCAAGGGTGAAACTGTTGCTTCCTTTGCACCTCCCTCCTCAAACAGTATAGCTTAGAAGCCCCCAAAATGATTTAAAATAATGTCAGCAAGAAAGGGGCTAAGATTTACATCACTGTGCAAATACCCATAGAAACAAACTAGAAAAGAACCCAGAGAAGTGAAAAGGCCGCAAGTTTAGAATGGTAGAAAATACACTGAGCATCCTCCCCCTGTTTTTCTTTTTACTATTTTTCCCAAAAGGCTAATTCTTATTTTTAAAAAGCTTGAATAGTGTATTTTTAGTTAATTTACATTATTCTTCCTAATTAATGACCTTGATAAAAGATGAACTCTGGAAATGATTCGGTTTGGCGTGGCCTCTCAAACAGTGAGGGGCATGTGGCTACAGTGAGGGGCATGTGGCATGACAGCAAGACTGCTGAAGTTTGCTCTTCCTTGGGGTCCTCACAGGAGTAGGCATTGAACCAAACACAGATTCTGTTCCAATTCCCATATTCTTGGAGCTCATTTAACATGAGTTGCTGGTTTCTGTTTCAAATTGAATAAATCTTTCAAATGTTCCAAGATCCACTTTTCCTATTTTTAATTTACAGCTATATTCAACTATGGCAAACACAAAAGGGTCAGAATGAGAGGAACTGTGGCCTACTTTTTGATATGTGAAGCTCTGGCCCTGACAATTTATAAATGGTAAGATTCCAGAAATAGTGTCAACTTAAAAACAAAGACATCTACAGTTAATTTCTGGACTGCTGGTACATAACTTTACAATTCCAAAGGTTTTCTTGTGCTGGAATTTTCCTCAATACTAATCTTGCATTAAATGAACATACTATTATTAATATTATTATTTTGTTTTTTTGTTTTTTGAGACGGAGTCTTGCTCGTTGCCCAGGCTGGAGTGCAGTGGCCTGATCTCGGCTCATTGCAAGCTCCGCCTCCCGGGTTCATGCCATTCTCCTACCTCAGCCTGCCCAGTAGCTGGGACTACAGGTGCCCACCACCACGCCCGGCTAGTTTTTGTATTTTTTTTTTTTTTAGTAGAGACTGGGTTTCGCTGTATTAGCCAGGATGGTCTCGATCTCCTGATCTTGTGATCCGCCCACCTCGGCCTCCCAAAGTTCTGGGATTACAGGTGTGAGCCACCGCGCCTGGCCTAAATGAACATATTATTATCATGGACAACCATCACCACTCCACCAATGCTGCCTCTGAAATTTACTGAATGCCTGATACTTTTCTAGGCA